TATTTATTTATTTATTTGCAGGTTACAAGCTTTTACACTGAGTAAAAGCTTTTACAATTGCAGGTTACAAGCCATGATGGGAATGTACAATCTCCTGGCTTGAAAGGAAGGTATTTCATAGTGTCAGATGCAGGGGAGTGGCATCAGGAGACAAATATCTAGTTGTCTTGTGTGCTCCAAGAAGCACCTGGTGGGGCCACCATGAGATACAGGAAGCTGGACTAAATGAGCTCTTGGCTTGATCCATCAGGGCTCTTTTTATGTTCTTATGTACAGAGATCCACAGAAGAGGTACACTTCCAGATTCTGAAGTGACAAATCTGCTGGAAAGATATCCCTGCTTGTACTCAGGCTCTCCCTATGCCCAAGAACCTGGGAAAATCTGTGTTCGTGCTTCGGGGTAGAGCCTACGTGTGATCAGAAATATCTCCTCTGCAGAGTTGCTATTTTCCACATGTAGAAAGGAACAGTAGAAAGGAACAATAGTAAGGGAAAGAGGCTTGCCCAGATAGAGAACTAAAGTACTGAACAGGACTAGAGAAATGCTCTTTTTCTAATGACATAGCTTGAGGAGAACAGAAGATACATAGTATATATAATATATACTGTATATGTTTCTGCAACCCTCTCGCATTTCTGCAATCCAAAGTTATGCCTTCCTGAAGCAGATGCTTCCCTTGCTTCAGCCTTCTTACAACACTGCTGTGTCAAGAGCAACTGTACTGTGTACTGTGCGGGGGCCTCGGCATATGCAGTTCATGAGGCTATCACATACGGCAGGGGTTTCTTAGTAGTTGCCCCTGTTCTAGATCTCTCTTCTTTCAGAGATCCAATGCTTCTGTCTTTCAGCCACTTGTTAAAAACATGTATTTGTATAATCTACCAGGAATGAGTAAGTGCTCAGCTGGTCTTGTTTGCATCGTTCTGTTGTATTTCTAGAAAACACTTGTAACCTCTGTTTTTACATATTTATGATCTTAAATGTGTCCTGTGTGCTTATTTTAAAAACATGAACTATTTGCTGCCCAAACGTAGAGCTCACCCGTAGCCCCACAACACCCCTAACCTTCATCACCCCACACTCTTCCTCAAAACTTGTAAATGCTTAAAAAAAGTTTTGCTCCATAAGTCCCTTGGGTCCTCTCAGAGGTGTGAGGGACTCTTTCACCCTTTTTGAGAGACCCCCAGCATTTACCTGCTTAGTTGTTTTACTAAAGAGTGCCAGGGTCTTTTTCCAGTTTTTTTTTAAAAATCACTTATATAAGGGAAAAATGGGAAAGGAGTTTGCAGGAGGAAGTGGGACCTTCCAGAGTTCAGGAATGGACATGTGTGGTCCCTAGATTACCTAATCCTGATACTGATAGTGAACGGTAGAAATGCTGGTTCTCAGAAGCTGTTTGAGTTTTCTTTCTTTTTTCCACTTCACAGGACCCGGTGGTTAAAGGTCCATTTCGAGTTCCTGCTAAAGGCAATCTGACACTGAAACAGGAGCTCCCGGTTCCTGCTCTTTTTCTCATCCACATCTGTGCAAAGGCTGTCTCTGCTCCCAACCAGGTGAGCACCGTGACTTCTCAGATGTTTGCTTACGATTACTCTAACCAGGGTGTTTTTATTTATTTCTTTGCTTGAGCTCCAGTTAGAACCCTGGAGTTTGGGGTGGGTGAAGGTTCTTGGGGTGTTTCCAAGAACTCCCACCACCGGTTTTGTTCTTGTAAGCTATCCTCTCAGCAATATGAAACTGTTGTTTAATGCCAGTAGGAGTTTTTTTTTTGTCCTGCTGTGTGCCACATATGCTTCTTCTCATCTTGTGCCACATGGCAAATACACCTTCTTTCGAAAAGTCCTTAAAATGATCAAGGCTGTGAAGGGAAACCTCAGCTTGCCAACTGCATTAAAAGCAGAGGTCAAAAATCCATCTGATGTTTTCCATACATACAAGAGAATTTAGGGGAAGCCCGTTTCATGTTTTGCCCATTGTACAATCGATCCCATAGCCAGTATGTGACAGGCAGATGGGAAAATAGTTCCCAGGGCTTGCATGATTGCTTGTATACAATTACTAAGCCCACAGGATTTTAGCCTAGTACCACTTCTAGGAGTAACACTTCTGGCTATAACTAGAAGCTCACAAGACAACTTGATGTCTCAGGGAAAACCTTCCCCACAAGAAAACAAATGTGTAATGGAGAAGGTGATATGAGGTTTTCTCTAGAAAAGCATCATTTCCCTAGAAAATGCCTCTCACCAAATAGATTGTTACACACAGCTTAGAAATAATCAGTTGCATGTTTCTTCAGATTAAATCATTCTGTATCCATGTTGCAGAGTTTTGACTTTCTGGTAGAATTCTGTTTTTGCTATACAGTAGAAATACAGAGATCCATAGAGAAGAATAACTACAAGTTCCCCAGAGTTCACCCCTTTCTCATTAATTGGCACTTAAAGTCTCTATAACTCACTCAGAGACATCTGTAGCAGATAGAATAAAAAACATTTCTCTACTTCCAGTTGCTTGAAATTACAGACTTGTAAATTCTGCTTTCTCTACTGCACACATACTAGCAGCCAACTGAACAGATCCTAGTTACTTGACCATCCCTCACAACCTCATCATTCAGGTGCCTCTGACTGTTCCTTGACCTTGTTTTAGCAAAATGGACCTGAGCTAGGTCTAACCTCACACTTTCCATATACACAATCCTTCATACAGATTCTTCTGTCTTGCCAGGTGAAAGGTGTTCGCCTCATTGGTCTCACGAAGGGACAGATTCTGGTAACATGGGATGATAGCCATGTGAAATCAAAGTAGGTAATTTTCTAAGGAAATGCAAAACTGTGTTGAATTTCAATTGTGTTTCAGAAATGGTCATGTTCATGTTTATTCTGAGTAGGTCCCTCTCTATTCAGTGGGGTTCCCACTCAGTTTAAGTGTGCATAAGGTTGTAGCTGAAAAGAGTCTATAACAATCTGACAATCAGGATCTCATTCCTCTTTCTGAAGCCACAGAGCAAGGATCCTGATACATGAAGTGCTCCAGATTCTGGAAGTTGTAGGGTACTGGTTTGTGGAAGACAAGACAAGACATGTACGGGTGTCAAAGCTGGACAGTGAGGACAACTGATAGTGCCAGTATCCGGACAAGACAAGATATGTACGGGTGTCAAAGCTGGATAGTGAGGACAACTGATAGTGCCAGTATCCGTTTTACTAATGTAATCAGTGTTTTTGCATTCTGTGATTTGGGATCTTGTGATGACTCTCAGTTGGGTATTAAACAACTGGAAACTCTCTTCCCCTCAACACCTGAAGGGCTATAGCGCTAGCAGGCTTGTTCATGGATCGAGAAGATATGTACGGGTGTCAAAGCTGGATAGTGAGGACAACTGATAGTGCCAGTATCCGTTTTACTAATGTAATCAGTGTTTTTGCATTCTGTGATTTGGGATCTTGTGATGACTCTCAGTTGGGTATTAAACAACTGGAAACTCTCTTCCCCTCAACACCTGAAGGGCTATAGCGCTAGCAGGCTTGTTCATGGATCGAGACCAGTACATTCCTGCTCACCCACCTGTGAAACTTAAGCACCATCATGTAATTGCTCTAAGCCTGAATGGCATAGAACAGTGATAGCGAACCTTTTTGAGCCCGAGGTCCAGACTGCAAAACCAAACAAAACCCAACCCAGCAGGCAGAGGTGGCAGAAGCAGAGGTGGTGGCAGAATCCTGGGCACGGAGGTGCCTCCAGACCCCACTCCAGATCTGCCTCCAGTCATGCCCAACCCTGCCACTGCCTACAGCTTGGCCAGCCTTTTGCCAGCGCCGGCTGCTCCGGATCCTGACTCGCCGCCTGTCGGGGCACTAGCACTGCGGCTGCAGCTACCTCCTCAGGTTTGGCTGCTGGGGGTAGCAATCCAGCGACTTATGGTTCACGTGCCCACAGAGAGGGCTCTGCGTGCCAGTTGTGGCACACGTGCCAAAGATTTCCCATCGCTGGCATAGAACAACAGAGGGCTGTTTCTGTCTCATGCTCTGTATGATTAGGGATGGTGAAGGATTTGATTCTGATTTTAATTCAGATTGACCTAACTTGCATTTCCCAAGCTAATATGTTAATGGGAAAACTGTTTTACTTTGTCTTTTGCACTTATCCAGAGTTTGTGATACCCTTTCTCCAATCAAAAAGTAGGTATACAGACTGTTTACAAAAACATAGATGAGACATGTCAAAAAATGTATACTTTCTTGTATGCCTTTGTCAGAATGCATGCATTTGTGTGTGGTTTTCTGAACTAGGAGAAAGACAAACAGGACCCATATAGGTTAGGCATCCTTCAATCTCGAGAGACTATGGTAACGTGCTCTGTATGCAGGACCCATATACTGTATTGGGAGAAAAAAATTAGCAAAATGGACCTCAGTTTTTATGTAGCTATTTTACTATGGTATTTGTAAACAGAAGTAGACATGGAGCAGAATGGGCATCTGCATCAAGAAGGCAAAAGCTGGAAGAAACCCAATCTGCTCATATTACATAAGAGCAGACTGGGGCTGAGGAATGTGTGTTGTCACCCTATTGTTACCTCTGCTTCCTACACTCTTTAACCTCTCTTTGGCCTCTTGACAGCAGAATGAGTTACCCATAAGAGTGTACAAAGGGAGCAGGGTTTGTGCTAAATAAAGATCCTGAGGGAGCTTGATCACCATCCTGATTTTTCTGTTGTGGGCTTCACATCTGAAATGCTTTTAGAAGAAATAAAGGCTGTCATTTGTCCAGATGTCCTTTATATAGAGATGGGCACAAACTTGAAAAATGGTGGGGTTTGATGGTTCATGATTGGCATGAACCAACCAGAAAACCAAACCATGAACAAATTACATTTTTGGTTTGTGCTCAGTGGGAGGGGGGAGGCTTACCTTTCTTGTGTTCTGCTGCTGTGCTGCTGCCGCCACCACCAAAACAGTTTGGCCCTTTGTTTTGTTTCATCAAAACCAGCTGCATGAACCAAACCACAAACCGAACCATTGACCTCTATGGTTTGTGGGTTGTTTTTTTTTCTGGTTTGTCATTTGGTTTGTGCCCATCTCTACCCATAAAGTATGCTGTGGAGCAAACTATTATGAGTGTGTGAAAGGTTATCAAGCAGACATGTCATGGGATGGAATGGAGATACAGCAATACAGGTATGACTGTAACACAAGCCCATTGGGCCTAATTTGAATTTACAGTAAGTCGATTTGGCACAGTTTGATTCTGTTTCTGCTAATAACTCCTTGAAAACACACTTCCCTTGCAGAGAGACAACAATTTATTTACATCCTCTGTGATATCTTTGTTTGCTTGTTCACGCAGGTGTCTGAAAAAGTTTGAAGTTGTTTTCTCACAGGATGGGAAAGCATACCACCAGATCAGCTTCAAAGACAGTATATTTACAATGCTGGTCTATAGTCCAGGTAAACCTCAATATATTGTCTTTGTTTGCAATTTCTGAACCAATGGAAGGTTGTGTCAACTCGTGATCTTTCAGTTTCAGACTCTTCATACTTGGAGATTTGTGTTGGAAAGTATAGAGCAATCAAAGAGGAAGCATGGATCTCTCTGAAAGTTTATGCTTTATGTTCTGGACAGCATGCCCAGGAATTATAGGAGTGGCACTCTTAGAATATCTGAAGGGCCAGTGGTGCCCAGTCAGTACAGATTCTGCCACTGCTACCAGCAGAAGGAAACCTTAGAAGGATGGAGGTCTTTTTCATTTCTGTGAAAAAGAGTGGTGTGCAGAAAATTATTCCTGCATTCCCTAAAATACAATTTACATTGCTAATCTAAATGTTCTGCAAGCCAATAGCCCTGATTCAGAGTTGTATAATGTGTACACACAGAACCCACCAGCTGTTTTTCAAACTTGTCAACATTTGTAAGTAGGTGGTCTATTTGAACATATTTTTTAATCTCTTTGAATTTGAATTTTTTTAAAAGGCAGGAATCATGGAAAATGTTGCACATGTGCAGAAAGATCTTGTGTGAAATCTACAGCTTGCTTTTTGAACTAATAGAAGGGCAATTGATTTAGGGGCAGTTTAAGGCTTCTGAGGGATAAGAATGGGACCAGGTGAGGGTAGATAGGTCTACAGAAGTCTCTATGGGCTTATTCAGCGTCATTTTCCATGCAATATATACTGTATATATATTTAATGTATAGGTTTGTGGTTTCAGATGGCCCTCTGGGAATTGTAATGGAGTGGTATAATTCTCTGTTCCTGCCCATAGAATTAATTTCACAAAGGTTTCACTGGTGCCATGTTGCTCCATAGCACTGTCATATATAGCATTCAAAGGAATCTCCCTTTTAAAAAAAGAGTTCATATAGATTAAACACTTAGAATATAGAATTCATAGAAAAGTGAAGTTGGAAAGGGCCTACAAGGCCATCAAGTCCAACTCCCTACTCAATGCAGGAATACAATCAAAGCATATCTGCCAGGTGATTATCTAAGTTTTTCTTAAATGCCTCCAATGTTGGAGCACTCACCAACTCCCGAGGTAAGTGGTTCCACTGTCGTACTGCTCTGACAGTTAGGAAGTTTTTCCTGATATTCAACCGAAATCTGGCTTCCTTTAACTTGAGCCCACTTGGCCTATATTTATTTCAAGAAAGCTAATCTGGTTTTGGAAAGGATCAAAACTATATTGCCATTATAACCTGAACATTTGGTGAGGTAAAAAAGCTAAAGCATATATTTTATTTTATTTTTTAAACCCAGATATACATACTCTCATACATGCCAAAATATTTCTGCCTGCTCATTCTAGCTTTTCTCAATGAAAGTGAAACCTTAACGTAATATTATGTTTTGGGCTTCCTTTGCAGGAACAACAGTGACAGGATTTTACAAAGTGCGTGCTGTGGATTACTGGAACAGGACAGGCCCATTTTCTTGGCCAGTGTATTATAATGGAGGATCTTGAGAAGAAAACATGCAAGCTACAGTTTGAAAAGCACACCATCATGCTTTTTGACCAGTTGCCTTTCCTTGTATTCTGAACTTCCTAAAAGCAGTCATTCCTCTACCAAAAGTATGTGGCAACGTAGTAGGACATCTCCAAGCGCCGAAATGTTGTTGAACTTCCAACTTTCACCTGCTTTAGCCAACGGGAATTCAAATCCGGCAGTACCTCATAGATCAAACATTTCCGATCCCAAGACCGAGGCAGAGCAGCAGCTTCTGTTGAGCTCCTTTCTTTTCAGATCAGAATGAGATAATCACGTTACCATCCCTGCTTGTAATGAGAGGGGAATCGTCAATTCAAGTTAAAGAATTCGTGTGTCCTCAAAGGGCAAGAATAAAGTGCATAATTTATGTGATGTGTTGTTCTCTGTCTTGCAGTCTTCTGTTGTTGTTTGGACTGTTTGTGTGTACATTCAGATTTTTCAGCTCAGTTGCCAAAATACCACCACTAGCTGGTTCTGGATGATAGAATGTGGGCATGGGGGAGAGGTGGATAATAGAGATGGGCACAAGCTGCCGTTTCGTCAGTTTGTTCCAGTTTGTTTATCAGCCAAACAGGTGTTCGGCACGTTCCAGCCCTTCCTTACTCTGGTGGGCACTGACTCAGAGGCAGCACACAGAGGAAATGGGGCAGGGAAGCATCGAAGACCTGCTCAGCTGATGAAAGAACCACCAAACCAGTGGATAGTCATTTTGGCCTATCTCCCTTGGATCAAAGAAGGTTCTTTCAAGAACATCCTGCCCCGCCTGCACATATTAACAAGAGAACGTTCCAGCCCTTCCTTACTCTGGTGGGCACTGACTCAGAGGCAGCACACAGAGGAAATGGGGCAGGGAAGCATCGAAGACCTGCTCAGCTGATGAAAGAACCACCAAACCAGTGGATAGTCATTTTGGCCTATCTCCCTTGGATCAAAGAAGGTTCTTTCAAGAACATCCTGCCCCGCCTGCACATATTAACAAGAGAAAAGGAGGGGAGTAGCGGATAATCATTTTGGCATATCTCCCGTGGATCAAGGAAGGTTCTTTCAAGAATATCTTGCCCCGCCTGCACATATTAACAAGAGAAAAGGAGGGGAAAGTCCTTCTTTCCTCAGGATACGTTCTTTTTCTGCATGTTGTGGTAAATAAAACATACTAAGAATTTGAGAACCTGCATTCTTGTGGACAGTAAGTGTTGGTCCTTTCTGTGAGTGGAATGTAGCATATGTACCATCAAGCGCAGCCAAATGTTTATGCACGGGAAGATCCCATCTGAAGCTGCATAGCTTTGCAGAGCAGGGCAGAGATTATCTGTAAATACTGTATGTGTTCAAATGAAAGAAGGTGAGAGTGAATTGGGGCGGAAGAGCTGGATTTCCTTTTCCCAGATTACTTAGATAGGTCATGCTGTGAAGAGTGGCCATGATGCACTGTGGACTTGAAAGACAAGCCCTCTTCACCTGTTACTCATGCTTTGATCTGGTAGTAGACCTTTGGTGCATTTCCACCTTTCCCCCAGCAAGCTACTGCATCCCCATCTGATGTCAGTATGTGGATCCTTGACTAACAAAACAGAAAAGTCTAAAACTCTGTGTCTAGCTGCCTGTATTGGAAGATAATACTGCAGAATGGATAGCAATCTAGAAAGGTTCCCCTTGACATTTAGTCCAGTCCTGTCTGACTCTAGGGGGTGGTGCTCATCCCCATTTCCAAGCCATAGAGCCAGCGTCTGTCCGTAGACAGTTTCCGTGGTCATGTGGCCAGCGCGACTAGACACGGAATGCTGTTACCTTCCCACCGTGGTGGTACCTATTTATCTACTTGCATTTACATGCTTTCGAACTGCTAGGTTGGCAGGAGCTGGGATAAGCAACGGGAGCTCACTCCGTCACTTGGATTTGATCTTACAACTGCTGGTCTTCTGACCTTGCAGCACAGAGGCTTCTGTGGCCAACCTAGAAAGGAAACTCTCATTTCATATCTTAGGCATGAACTCAGTAGGTTGCCTTGGGCAAGCCACTCCAATAGCACCCATGGTTTTGAGTGACAGTTTTATGCAACAACACAGTGCCTCACAATAACTCAACTGGCAGGGCACTGGAGAGGAAATGAAGATAGTATCGGGAAACCATAGTGCTAAGTCACAAATAACTTTTTTTAAAAAGGTAAGTTGCAAAATTTCAGTGGTAGGCCGCAATTCTCTGTTGAAGGAGACCTAGTGCTGATACAGGTTCCAGTTCAAGCCCATAGATATTTGATATCTTGGAAGGACAAGCAGAATGGAAAAAAAAGAAATGTGAATGAAACAGGAGAAATGCTGGATAAAAAGAGGGGAGGCACCAAGCACCCACACTGTGAAGACAAAAAAGGGTGCTATGAATGGTACTCCTATTGAATTCCATAAATCGAAATGAATTTTCAGAAGCAAACTTGCATTTTCTATCATTGCCATTTTGGTGGGAGGAATTTACATGTTCAACTTAGATGCTATGTGTCATTTTTCAATTGTTCCTTTAATGGAAGTTTTATACGAAGATGGGATCTAAAGACAAGGGTGTATAATATCTTTATTAATTGTGTGCCTTCAAGTCAGCTTTGTTTTATGGCAACTCTTCCCAGGGTTTTCTGGATATAGAATATTCAGAGGTTATTTACCATTCTTAGGGGGGGGGCACTCTGAGACTATGTAGCTTGCCCAAAGCTACTCAGGCTGGCTCTTCTGTTTGAAGGCTCAGTCAAACCCCTGACCTCTGTCTCTGCAGCCAGGTACCCAAGTTACTGAGCTATCCAACCAGCTGATATTAGACCACTAAAATATGTGCAGAAGCTGGTTTTTGACACTCTAGGAATCTTCATCAGGCTGAGCATTACGGAGCTGGATGTGATGCAGAAGAAACGATTCTAAAATGCAGAGCTGGACGTGCAGGCCAGGTTTCCTTGTTTAAAGTTCCCAAAAGGGGAGTGCACACCCCTCCAATTTTTTAAGCCATATTGTGTTCCTGAATTGGGTGAGAGGCAGGGTATAAATGTAAAGGAGTAACTGCCTGCTAAGGGGGAAATTATCTGGTCCACTGGTCCCCAGGTTGTCTCAAGGCACGTTCACACATGCGGAACCAAAGGATGAAGATGCTAGGCAGGTGAGACCCTAGCTGAATTTCAGGACTGAAGGATAGCCAGGAGCATCAGAACATGCTGTAGCTTAGCAAGTTTTCATTGCTTGAGAAAGGAATCCCTTCTTCCTCTCCATGCGAGCAGAATCAGTCCAGAGCCTGAAGGTGTTTGACTGGAATAGCTGCCACTGAAAATTAAGCAGATGACCTTCCAGGGCAGATGGACACAAATCCAACAGTTTCTGCCTTTGATTTGTGGTACATTAGCCAGTTTAGATACATTACAGAGAGTATGGCAACCCCATGTAGAATTCTGTTCCCCTCCCATTCCTCTGTAGTCTTTGTCTTCACATGATTGGAATATGTGTGCTTCCCTGGACTTGTTCCATACCATGATCTATACTGATAGGGTTGGGGGGCGGGAAGTATTATAAAGTTGTGACATCAGATGAGCTGAACTGAGGAGGACAGAATCTGGCATGAAATTGTGAAACATTATTTGGGCCTTTTGTTTGAGGGCAAAGAAGACTAGATACCCAGTGTGGTGTAGTGGACAGAGTGACAGACTAGGACTCAAGAGGCCTGGATGTGATTCCTTGCTCACCCATGGAAATTCACTGGGGGAGTGGAACTGGTAAAACCACTCCTTAAATATTCCACTTTGAAAGCCCTGCTAGGGTTGCTATGAGTTGGATTCCATAGCAACCCTAGTAGGTTTGTTATGTGTCATTCCTTGATGACACATAACAAAGAACACCACAGCCATTATGTTGCTGCATCTCATGCAGGAGAACCCCTCCAAAAAAAACCATGCTGTGTGAAGACGAGCCCAAGGAACTAATTTACAAGATTACTGAAAAACATTTATTGACAAATGTTACATTAGTACACTTCTTTGAGTCCACACGTGCAGTATGTGTTGCACCCAAGTGCAAAAAATTAGAACAAAAATTTTTTTAAATACAACAAGCCGACACTTAGATGTGTTCAAGAAAACACTCTAATCCAAGCTATGTATGAAAGGAAATGTCCGGATGGAGGGACCAGGCCTCTGCTCCAACTCAGGACTGGAGGTGCTTTGATTTAACAGGCCCCTGTGGAGACAAGCAAAATAAGTATATGTTGGTTGTTGCCACAACGTAAGTGGGATTCAGGAAGAACATTTTGCATTGTTGTCTTTCAAAACATTACTCAGCTCCAGCTGCAGAAAAGGTTTTAACAGTGTGGAAAGAGTAAACAAAGAGAAGTTGTCTTTCATAATATTGGAGCCTGAAGTAATTCAATATAATTGTATGGAGTAATTACCTGGCAGTTAGGTTCCAGTCAACAAAGAAAAGTACAACTTTAACACAAGGCATACGTGATATATGGGAATACGTTAGAAAAAGAGATGGTGGTGGCCTCGGTTTAGATAGCTTTAAGAGGCTCTAGACGTGTTCAAATGATAGGCTTATGGCGCTAGCAATATAAGCTGACTACCATCTCAAAGACTACATATCCTTGAGCAGCAAACACTGAGGAAAAGTGAACGGTCATAGCTCTTTGTGACCTTCCTTTCCCTCATTTTTCCCTCAGTTACATCCTCCATGGAGTAGCTTAAAAGAGAGAGCAAGAGCACAAGAGGAAGACCTGCTAAGATAGTTACTTGGAGCAATTCATAGAAAGACCCCCAAAATCCCTGAGCAAAGAAATCCTGACACATTCCTTGTGGAGGGAGTTCTTTGCACAGCAGTGTTATTACACATCCCTGTGAAGGCCATTGGTTTGAACACTGAACACAGCTGGGGAGGCTTAGCTATTCACCCCTTTGTCAAAGACATACGTGTAATATATTTAGAAAGTTGCCTCTTGATTTCAGTGGTAAGGCAACTGGAGGTATTCTCAGTATCTCTAAATTCCAGTACCACCACAGTTATAAAATCTTGCTAAGACAGACAAAAATCTTTGTTTTCCCCTTCAAAAAATCCAATAATTTTGTCCTGATAGAGTAAGGTAAAAGGTAAAGGTTCCCCTTGACAATTTTTGTCCAGTCGTGTCCGACTCTAGGGGGCGGCGCTCATCCCGCTCTTCAAGCCATAGAGCCAGCGTTTGTCCGAAGACAATCTTTCCGTGGTCACATGGCCAGTGTGATTTAGACACGGAACGCTGTTTACCTTCCCACCGAGGTGGTCCCTATTTATCTACTCGCATTTGCATGCTTTCGAACCGCTAGGTTGGCGGGAGCTGGGACAAGCAACGGGTACTCATTCCGTTGCGTGGATTCGATCTTATGACTGCCGGATCTTCTGACCCTGCAGCACAGGCTTCTGCGGTTTAGCCCACAGCGCCACCACGTCCCTTCCTGATAGAGTAGAGTCTACAAAGTAATGATCAACAAACCATTCTTAGACCTCTAAATATTTTGGTTAAAAAAAAAAAGAACAGCCAAATTCCAGAGCCCTTGCAGAAATTATTTGTAATATATATTTCCAAATGTGTTTTTGTCTTTTTGTTGTTGTTGAAGTGCCACCCTTACTAAATGCAATGAAAGAGCAACCTTGTTTGGGAATTGAGCTCAGAGCATCGTTGGTCCAAGGCTCACGAGCCTGGTGTAGGCACAAATGTTGCTTTGGAGGTAGCATGTCTTACATTGAGTGCTGCCACCCTATTGCACCAAAGTGGTCTGTGGCAAGCAAGTCCCAGGGCCAAAAGACCCTGGTCATTTTTGACCTTAGACTTTCTTGGGTAGCAGGCTACCCATGGAAAAAGAGAAACAATGGAGCAAGTGGATGCTAGAGGATGGTCCCGCTGGAATACTGACTTGTCTTGCCTAAAGGCTCCACAGTCCTGGACCTGCTCTTCAACATGCAAAAGCATAAGCTGACCCTTTACAATTTTGTTTCATGCTCTTCCTCCACCCAAAGCTAAAAAAACAGAGACAGTTTAGATGCAGGCTCATGGTGGAAATCTTTAGCCCTCCAGATGTTTTACCTTTCGACATTTACAAATCCCAAACAGTGTAGCCAAGAGTAACGGCTGTGGAAGGTGCAGCCCCAAAACAGCTGAAAAGCTAAAGCTTCCCTACTCCTGGCCAAGGAGTTACAAAACTAGTCCCTCTCTCCTAGGCTGACGAGGGAGATTGGGGCATCCTATAGATCAGGCTCTGATCACACTCACATGAAGCACTGGACATGACCTGGCCTCAGGTCACATTGCCCATTGCTCTTGCAGGTGAGCTACTCATAGATGCATAAGCAACCTTTCCGAAAACTGCCTTGAAAAATTTATTTGCAAAGACAGGAGCCAAATAGCATTTCTACCGACCTGACTGTAGCACAGGCTGAAACTGGCCAGACATGCAGATTTCCTCCTGCTTCTGGCGCACAACGCGCTGGATGGCTGGGGGAAGACCTCGGGGATTGCGGGAGAAAATAAGGGCATAGCCGTCATCGCATGAGCCATCCTCTTTCAGACTGCGGCAGGCGTAGGTGATGGCGTAGTTATCATAGTCTGTGTCAATCACCCAGTAGTTGTCACCTGAAATCATATCAAGGGTCCAAGTGAAGCGAAAAGGTCTGACATCAGCTATTGTGTGTTTTCCCTCCATATGACTAGAGGAGAGAGCCCGGACAGTTTCATTTCTGAACATCTCAGTATGTCTGCACATACTGTCCCCTGCTCTGCCTGTTCAGACATTCCATCAGGACAAGCAAATAATTATGTAGGAGCTGGTTAAGTCATACAAGAAAGAAAGGAAAAGCAGCATGCATGTGTCTGATTAAAAGCTTTCCTTCCCTGAAAGTTGGGAAGGGGAAGAGTGAGGAAGATTAATACACAGGGGAGAGAACAGGAGAGGCCACAGAAGGACATGACCCAACCAGCATCCTTCTTGTCAAGATGGCAGCCACATGCTGGGTTTATTCTAGGGCTGCACTGCCAAAAGAAAAAAAAGGAGGGAAACCCCAGCAAATATCACCTCCCTGTTGCTCACCCTTCATTAAATTATATAGTCTCCAACCTAGCAAAGTCTCCTGGCCTCTGAAACAGAAACACTTAACTTTCTCCATGGGCAGTGAAAACGAACTATTTGATACCATTTCATGATATCCGAAACCACTCACCTAAAACAGCTGCTTCACTCTGTCATAGGTCTGCCCATTTCTCTTCCCACATGACCTGAGTTTTCTGACCTTATTATGACATGGCCTTTTCCAGCTATGGGCCCCCCTGATTTGGGAGAGCCCCCCCAAGAGATATCCAACCCCATTGGCCAGTCTCATTCTTTATATGCCTCTGTAATGTTTCTTGTTCTTAGCACTCTAATTCTCGTGAACCCTGTGCTGACAATTTTGCTTCGTGTGTGTCTGTGTCTGTGTGTGTGTGTGTGTGAATTCTGATTGCTTTTTCATCTCTGTTGTTATCTAACTTTACTATTTTCTAGTCAAGTTGGCTAACATGAATACAATATAAAAAAATAAATAAATCTGCATAAGTTTCAATTTCACTGCTGGGATCTTTTCGCTGCCCACGCCACTAAGATATTGTCAGGAAGGTGCCCAGGCCTGCCCAAACCCCACAATCAGTGGTTGTTGAGCATTGTTCCAGAAATGCATCGCTCTGCCATTCCCAGGTTTCAGAGGACGCACTCTGTACCCTTCTCTTAACTTTCTGATTTCTGATATCTCACTCACCTCCACTTGACAAGTAGCTCGCCAGGCCTTGGTAATTCATGAACATTTTTGCTGGGGTGGTGGGGTCAGGTACTGAATATTGGGCAGCCATGTCAGCACAGATCACCCAGAATCTGAAACAGGAAAGCAGCAACATGGATTTCAATACGAGTGGATCTTTTTTTTTTTTGCCCTGTGCAAGATTCCCCTACAGGTGGTTGTAATATAAGTTTTATTTGTCACTATGGAACAAAACCTCCACTCCATTCTACCATGTAAAGGCAACTTTTCCCTGCATTGCCCTCCTCAGTGAACCCAGTCTATAGTCTTCTCGATTTGTAGGAAGATCATGAGCATAGGGGAAGAGCCCCCTCTCTTGTCCCATTAATTCCTGAAGGAAGGGGGCATGCGAGTGCCCCAACACCATTATAGCAGGATTGGGATCCAGAAGTCCAAGGTCCCAATGCCACTGAATGAGTGGGAGCCTCCCCCCTCCCACAATGCATTTGGACGGGCTGGCTTACTAGATTATGAAGTATAAGAAGTCAAATTCAATCTAAATAAACAAATTATATTGGCAAAAGAAGAAGAAGTCATGCACACAGCCATCAAGAGACAGAAGGCCTCCATAAGAACAGTGTCTGAAGGCAAACCGGGGCTCCATTTAAAGCAAAGTATGAGGCCAACTAACCCTGCAGATAGACAATGTGCGTGACTGTTAAACCCTGCTATAGAGCACTGTTAGATACAGGTATTATCAAGGAACTGAATGTTCATACGTATAAAAGGTTCTCCGTGCAGTTTCATAACTAGGATCTCCAGGAGAGTAA